AAAAGGACTCATTGTTCTGACAGTTGGAAATCAACTGATTTTTAGAAGATATAAAAATGTGCTCAGGGCTTATCGTGAGCTGGGAGCAACTCACAGGGCAATGCCAGATGCTCCTTTTTCCACCACACAAATTTTATTTCTGGTGTCAAAATCTCTTCAACATTAATCTCTGGCAGGGCCCTTTTCATTATCCCATCCCAATTCATTTGTGCTCTGCTGGGAGGATGAAAGCTCCACATTAGTGCTCAGCCTATTAATTTATAGTTTTCTCCCTGTTACAACAGCTTTTGGAGTTTATTCTTCCTCCAGCAGGACACACTGAACCACCTGTAACCAGCAAAGATGAAATCCAACATCCAATTTCCATGATGTAAATAAGCCCCCATTTAAAAAAAAATAAAATTGAAGGGAGGGTGTCTCAGAAATTTCCCCAATTTCATTCTTCTGCTCTTTTTTTTTTCAGTATTAAAAACACACAGTGAAAGGAAGTCAGTCTGTCTTTTATTTTGGTTAATATATTTTAATGATATGTGGCATCAACTGGCTCCAGTTTCTATTTCATGCACTTTTGATGCTGCTGAGAAAAATTAAGATGCTTTTTTCCTGCAGTCTAATTTCTTCTTTTGTGGAAAAACTCCACCTGCAAGGCACAGGCTGGATCCCAGATCCTACAACACCTCAGAGCAAGGGCTCTTCGTCATCTTTAATCCACGAGGCACATCAGCACTTTGATTTGTGATTTCCCAGTGGGAATGAAAGCTGGACACACATGGGAAGCACATCTGTGGTAAGTGATAATCTAATTTCCTATTGGAGAAGCAGCAGGACCAGCCATGGGCTGGACTCTTTCTGTGGAGAACATTAAATTCTGGGCAACTTTCAGTGGAAAACTGTCCCCCATGAGGCCCTGACTGACTGCTTGAAATCCCACTGCTCCCTCTTGTCCTGGCACTTGTTATCTGGGAGAAGAGACTGATCCCACCCAGCTCCACCCTCCTGGGAGCTTTAATAGGGATGGGTTTGGCCCCAAGAGAGGTTTGGCCAAGCCATGGGTGAGGTTTGGTGCCACACAGAGCCCCAGACCAGCACCACCGACCCTGCCCAGAGGAACCAGGCCTGGCACGGTGGGATTAACCCTTCAGGGAAAGGTTTAGGGCTGGAGGAACTGCTGTTCCACATCAGGCAACAGCACCAGCTCTGACAGGGGCAGAGAGAAGCCTGTCCATCAGGGAAGGACACGACACCCTGGTGCCATGGGATGTTTTCTCCAAGGGAAGGGCTGGAATGCTGCCACGGCCCCGGGGGCAGATCTGTTCCAAGCCTGGAGATTTGTTTAGTGCTCCCTCATGCCAGGAGTCCTGGAGTGCAAGGTCTCTGACACCACTCCTGCGAGAAATATTCCCTGCAGGAAGCTCGATTTCCTAAAAATCCAGTGCTGTGATGAGGTGTCCACATGCTCAGGGCACTTTGTGCTGCTGCCTTTAACCCCGGGACAAAACCAGCCTGTAACCTCTCCCTGACATGGAGACATTCATGGAGCTGGTTTTAGGCCAGTCCAAGAGCTTTCCTGACATTTCTGTATTTTGCTCATTGCTGAGCAGCAGGAGCTCTGGCTTCCTGGGAGGGAGGGAGAGAAAGGAAATATTTGTTCTCCAAATATTTCTGGTTTGGATCCAGGGTTCAGACCTTCCCTCATGTTCCAAACGTTGTCCTGTGTCTCTCCCCTCACTTTCCGTGCTGATCCTCTCTGGCCACACAGACTTTACTATGGCTGCTGCCACAGGACAGAAACAGGGAGCTGGTGGATGAGAGCCTGGATTTTAAATCATGGAATCACAGACTGGCTTAGGCTGGAAGGAGCTTAGAGCTCATCTCATTCCACCCCCTGCCATGGGCAGGGACACCTTCCACTAGCCCAGGCTGCTCCAACCCCCATCCAACTCGGATTCTATGAGGATTGGCCATCATTCCCTGCCCTTTGGCAGGGGGTTGGAACTAGATGAGCTTTAAGGTCTCTTCCAACCCAGACCTTCTGGGATTCCATGGTTTTAATTCCACCTCTGAAGATGTGCTGCTCTTGGAGAGACTCTTCTGCTACTTTTCTGCTCTTGGAAGGTAAACAGCATTTCATTACACAATTAATAAACCCATGGACAAACCAACGTTATTGCAACAAAAA